GCGATCGATGATAATATTGACCGTTTCGTAGTTTTATTGATAACTATAGGTTCGACGGTGTAAAGGATAATATCTTGCCGCGCGTCCCAGGCAATTCCTAAGGTTTTCACCGTAGCAGTCTCTCCTAAGATCTTGGGATGAATCTGGTCTTCATCGAGGCCTTGGAGAAGATTCGGGTCATTAGAAGCCCACTGTCGTATGTTGAGGCCACCCTTCGTGAGCATCCTGCAGATTTGACCTTGTATCGCTTGAGCTTCTTCGAATGTGTCCGCACCGGTGAGAAGATCATCGACATACAGATCTCGTTTTACAATTTTTGCCGCTTCCGGAAACCTGCTTCTTTCATCATCCGCGAGCTGATGAAGGCACCTAATAGCGAGGTAGGGGGCTGACGAGAGACCGAACGTTACCGTATTCAGCTCGAACGTTGCTAAATTTCCACGGTTGTCTCTCCATAATATTCTTTGGTATGCACGATCCTCCGGCCGAACGAGGAATTGCCGGTACATTTTCTCGATGTCACCGGTCATGACATACGCGTACATACGAAATCGCAGAAGCAGTGAAAAAAGGTCATCCTGGATCGTGGGGCCTGTCATTAGAGTATCGTTAAGAGACAGACCGCTACTCGATTTAGCTGATCCATCGAAGACGACACGAACCTTCGTGGTCGTGCTTGAGGGTTTTACCACTGCGTGATGCGGTAAATAAAAACCTTCTCGTCCGTATGGCTGAACTTCGCTCATATGTCCGAGCTCTTGATATTCCCGAATTACGGCGGAATATTCGCGTTTCAAACCCGGATCGCGGTTGAATTTCTTTTCCAACGATAGGAAACGATTTAAGGCGCGCGCACGAGATTCGCCTAATTGTAATTTCCGGTCATTAAACGGTAACGCTACGATGTATCGACCCGTGTTATCCCGCGTTGTTGTTTCCAGAAAATGCTTCTCGCATGCATTTTCCTCGTTAGACAGGTGTCGTACCTGAGGACCCTCCTCTATCTCCCAAAATTTCTGTAAATCGAAATTTGGAGTAGCGATATAAGTCCTATGCTTCCCCGTTGTCGTTGATATGTTCCCCCCGATTATCCATCCCAGCAACGTCTTCTGGAGAATTAAATCGTTTTTCTTCGACGGAGAAATATCTATTTGACCAACGCTCAAGCATGCTAAGGCCGGACCGATGCCTATAAGCATGTCAACGGGCTTTGGTTGGTCAAATTGCGGGTCAGCTAAATTTATATTTGCGGGAATCGGAATTTTTCGACGATCGATTTGTTGATCCGGTACAGCTCCTGAGATCTTCGGTATTGTGATAAATGTGAGGGTGCGTTTAAAGTTCGATACTCTAGATTTGATAACTGCGGAAACGATTTTACTGGTTACTGTGCTTAATTGATTTAATGACTCGATTGTCGTTGTATGATTCTTAGTCGTTAGCCGTAATTTCGATGCCAGTTCGTCAGTAATAAAATTCGCATTTGAACATGTGTCTATTAACGTTCGACATTCTACCGGTTTCTGGTCTCGGTCCAGAACATAGACTTTCGCGGTAGCTAGCAACCCGTTCGTAGGCACGTCCGTTACGAACGCGGTGCCATGTCCAAAATGCGACCTTTGTTGGTGTAGTCAGGATCTCGATTCGCCGTTCGGTTGCGCGTCCTGATGCAACTGAGTGTTGTGTGCTCGTTTGCACACACGACACTTCCCGAAAGTGCAATCCTCGATTACGTGGTCCGATCTGAGGCAATTGAGGCAAAGTCGAGCGTTCTTCGCGGCTTCGATTCGTTGCGGAACTTCCATAGCACTAAATGTCGGACATTGATACTCCGCGTGATGTCCTGAACATATTCGGCATTTCGCATTTGAAACGGACCTCGATGGCTGGACGTTAAACGATTCGGTGCTCGCGTTGACCGGCGGTTGTCGTCTTCGTGAACGCGGTGACGTTGGCGGCGATCGCGAACCCGATTTCTGTGTTACGAATGTCTGTTGCCTCGGTTGCGACGGCATTGTTCTCGCGGGAAAATTATAGGAACGCGCTGGCGCTGGACGCGGTTTAAAATGATCCGGTTGCTGATGATATCCTCTCGATTTAACATCATCCGCGTAGTCCTTGCTCTGATGGGACGCGTTGTGTAGATATTTAAAAATATCGTCGATAACGGGGACTTCGGTGTTCGATAAGGTACGCTCCCAAGCCCTTCGCGTCTCTTTTCCCATCTTCGAAATTACGACGCTACACAAAAGATCGCTCGCCATTTCTTCCCACGACCTGCCCAGTGCTTGTAGCGATCGCACGTGCAGCTGCATGTGATTCACCAGATCTCGAATCGCTTCTGATGAATCGTTAGACATCGCGGGGGTATCACGCAACATGGCGGCATGACGCAAAACGAGCACCCGTTTGTTGTCGTAAATTTCGCAGAGATGCTTCCACGCGGCCTCGTAATTTTCTTCAGTAATGGTAAATGCAGCAATCGCGTCTTCGGCTCGTCCAGACAACGAAAGCTTTAGATAATGTAATTTTTGAACCCCACTAAGACCCGGTTGCGTGTGAATTAACGTATGGAACGCGTCTTTAAATGTAACCCAAGTTTCAATCCGTCCGTCGAACTTGGGTAAATCTATCTTGGGTAAATTGACTGGTAATGAAAAACGTGAGGCATTTGACGCGGGTGATTCTTGCGAACCTTGTTCCGCCGACGGCAGCGTTGGATTTACGATTCCCTCTGCATTTTCTAATATTACTGTCGCGGTCGCAGTAATATCGTCGAAGAAATCGGTCGTCGTTTCGCGCTCCTCTTCTGCCTTTTCGAA